CCTGCTGCACTTGCCTGGTGCAATCATGGCTTGGTCTAAGAGCCAGTGATCCGGCTGGAGGGAGGGACCCAAGATGAGCGCGGCAATGTTCAAATGATGGCTAACATTCTGGGTTGCATCTGTAGATGTGGGCAATGCAAAGGGCTGCAGCCCTGCACCATTGTGGATGGCCGCTGCCTGGCCTGTGAAGCTGGCTGGAATGGCACCAAGTGCGATCAGGCTTGCTTGTCGGGCTTCTACGGAGATGGCTGTGAGAAAATCTGCCCCCTGTGCAAAGACGGCCACACCTGTAACCACATCAATGGCAAGTGCTCACACTGCAATCCCGGCTGGATAGGAGACAGGTGAGTGGAGGCTGGGAGGCTGCTTTGTGACAATCCGGACTGCATGCTCTTGTGCTCTTCTGTTGGCCAAAGTGGCGCAGGCTACACAGGACATTTGGGCACTACCTTTATTAGACCCATAGTCCCCTGACACCTGTCCTTTGCCTTAACTACTAGGTAATGCTTTCCTCTGAAAGCCCTCTTCTAGGGGCGGCTCTCTCCTCCTCCCAACGGCATCCAACACGCTGGCGCCTCCCCCCTCCCCCCAACAGCATGCAACATGCTGGCACCTTCTGTAGCGCTCAGTCAGCATGCCCCAATCCTGTCACGGAGCCACCCTGCTGGAGACTCTGGTCAGTCATGCACGGACGTTGCCCTGGCCAGTGTGATTGTTCTGGCCCTCACCAGCTTCTTGCAAGGGCAGGGAGTGCAAAAGGTTTCCTGCAGTCCCTGAAAGCCACCAAACTCACCCGTTTGCTCCCCGCTCCCAGGTGTGAGCCCATGGGACACAGAACCCAAGGGAGATGCATGTAGCTCCAAGAGGAGCACACAGCACAGGTTGCAACATCGGAGACCAGTAGAACAGAAACTTCTCACAAAACCATGTCTCTGTTGCCCATAGCATGTTCCTCCTACAATGTAGCCTGGCCTACTTCAGCCTGCAGTGAAACAGAGCCCTAGCGCCCTCAGCCAGACACTCTGATTGACCAAGAGAGAGAATGGCAGCCCCTTCCTCTGTGCCCAGAAGCTGCCTGCTGAGGACAGAGCTGTGGCCTCTTGCCTGGCATTGCAGAGGCTGTGATGAGTGCTGCCTAGATCTGGTGACTTGCTACTCCAGGGCAGTGCTCACCCCTGGGGCTGTCCCAGCCTGCTGCAGTGTACCCAGTGCTTGCTGCTATGCTGGAGCAGGAGGCGGCTCTGGGCAGTGATGTGGAGATGGGAGGATGCTCAGACAGACCCTCTTTTTCATCCCATGTTGTCACTTCTGGAGTTTACCAGGAGTTTGTAAGCCCAGCAAATGGAAGGATTGTTAGCAGGGCAATGAGCTCACCGGATTGTCGTCTGTCCAGATGGATTACTCTCTATCATGTTGGCAGGATATAAGAACATGAGAATGGCCATATGGGGTCAGACCAAAGGTCCATCTACCCGTTGTCCTATCTGCCGGCAGTGGCCAATGCCCATGCCCCAGAGGGAGTGAACAGAACAGGAAGTCATCAAGTGATCCCTCTCCTTTCACCCATTCCAAACTTCTGGCAAAAGAGCTAGGGACCCCATTCCTACCCATCCTGGCTAAGAGCCATTGATGGACCTAACCGCCTTGAATTTATCTAGCTCTTGTTTTAACCTGTGGTGTCCTGTCGCAGCTCTAATCCTGGCAGAAAGTGCCATACTAGTAGCTCCTGCTCTATGTTCTGTCCACAGGCATTTATTGCTCATCTTGGGTTCCAGATAGAACCCAGTCTAAAAGCAAAGTGTGGCTAGTGGCCTGTAAAGACTAAGGATGTTAAGAACTAATGGACTAGTCGACTATCCAATAAGCAAGGGTATGTCTACAATAACCACCCCGGTAGGACT